GCACGAACAGGAATCGCTCGGTCACTAGTTACCCATATTAGTACGGTAAGGGTTAAGAATAGCTACGAGCCAATTAAATAAAAAGTAACATGTAAAATAAAGGCTTTAAAATAGACATGAAATTAGAAACAGAAACAAAATATATTTATTAAAGACTAAAAACTAACGTTTCAACCGCAATCGGGTCACTTTCAAAGTTCACAAAGAAGTATATCAATAGCGGAAAATAAATAAAAATTAATATACATATAAAAGTCAAATTAACATACATATAAAAGTCAAATATACTTTTTTGTGAACTTTGAAAGTGACCCGATTGCGATTGAAACGTTAGTTTTTAGTCTTTAATAAATATATTTTGTTTCTGTTTCTAATTTCATGTCTATTTTAAAGCCTTTATTTTACATGTTACTTTTTATTTAATTGGCTCGTAGCTATTCTTAAATTTATTCTATTTTTTTATTCTTTTGAGCCATTCTTTATTATATGTATAAAAACTGCTCTGACCTATTGATTTACTAACACATTGACAAACTAAAACATGGCGGCAATTCCGGAGAGAACTATTATGTCTTGATTCTTACTAGAATGACTCTAGTGTGTACCGATCGCCTAAAAAATTTCTCTCTTCAGTGAGCACGTTCGAAGAGGCATATTCCTAGGTTTGTTCGCGATTAACTTTGTAGCACGATTGTAGCCGGAAAAATATCTTAACCTTTTAATAAACGCTACTGAGTTTTATAAACTCAGTATCGTTTGTGCACGTAAAACGTTAGGTACTGAACTGTCGATCGTTTTGTCCATTTGAGTTATAAAACTTCTGTATTAAGGAAATATATCTATGTCAGATGATAGCTCTACGTGTTAAAAAAATGTAAGTTTTTAACTTTTTTTCGATTTTAGTATGAAGTCAATTGCAGCGTTTCCCAATTTCGCTTTGTATTTCGTTCTGTAAATTCGAAGATTTATAGATTTATATTGTCGATCTGCAATGTCCCGACAATGGTCACTCGAGCATCACCTTCATCCTTAATATAAGTGTAACGTATAGTTATACATTTATATTAATAATATTTATTAACACACACAAATCGTATGACAACTACAATTAATCAATAGCGGATTATTTAGTCATCTAGCATGTTAATATACCTCCATAGTAACCCACATAGCATGTAATATCACAGTAATATCACAGCAATATCATTTTTTCTATTGCAATATTACAATGTAATCTAGCAGAAATATCGTTGAAATATTACTAAGATGTCATAGTAACATTACAATGTCCGTAAAAAAGAATCACAGGAATATTACTGAGATATATCACAGAAACACTAATATTATGTAATATTTTTGTGATATTTATATAATGTTTATATATATGTAACATTTATTGAGAAAAATTAACATATTAAAAAAAAATTTATTGAATTGATATTTTTAAGGTTATTTTAAAAATTATTTTATATAATATTAATTAGAAAATAATACTGATTGTCAATAACAATAACTATTATATAATATTATGATAAACTGAAAAAGTTATAATAAATTAAAAACATCCCTTATAAAATTATGTGTGTGTACATATAATTTTGTGATATCTTAATAATGTCAATAAAATATCATAAGGCGTCATTAATTATAACGTCATTCTGCTACTTCCCAAGTAAAACAAAAACATTGAAAAATTGTTAAAAAAACATTTTTTCGTAACGTTGAATAACTATTACAAGTAAACGTTTTTAATACATTATATACATTTTACTTTTTTATTCTTTTGAGCCATTCTTTATTATATATATAAAAACTGCTCTGACCTATTCATTTACTAACACATTGACAAACTAAAACATGGCGGCAATTCCGAAGAGAACTATAATTTATGTCTTGATTGTCCGTGTAGGAAACGTTTATGAAACTAGTATAAAACGTTTTTTTTTACTGTAAAGAAACCATTCTAAAAACGTTTACGTACATATTTAGCTAACGTTTGTACATCATTTATATAATTTTTATAATAGGTCCCGGACGTTCGTTCACTGAAAAAAATGAATATTAATTTTGCATGGAAGTTACATGCGAGTATATGATCAGAAAATTACTTAAATATGACTAAAAATTTTCAGAAAAAGGAAATTTTCAGTCATATTTAAGTTATTTTCTGGTCATATACATGTAATTTCCATGTAAAATTACATACATTTTTTTTCAATGTTCGTTTTCCGGTGTGATGCGCAAAGTGCACACCGCTGACGTAAGTCGCCGAAGTAAGATATCAACAGCATTTATAAATGCTGATTTCAGTACGCTGTATGGAATGAAGAAATAACATTTGAAATATTTTAATTAATATTTTTATTTGTGATAATAAAAACGTATACGTTATTTACTTTTACAAAAGGTGTTGTAATTATACGTTACTTACATTTTACAAAAATGTGTAAAAATTATCATTCATGTACATTATAATTAGAGTGCGGATATTTAATGTAACTGAATATTTTGCATAAAATGCATATTTTACATAAATGCATATTTACATAAATTGAACATAATAATTGCATAATAATTGCATATTTGCATAAATTGAACATATTAATTGCATAAATTGCATATTTTGCATAAACTTTACAATTCTATATAATTTTCAAGTAAGCATATAGTATGACTATATTATGATTATATGATGGAATATATTATAATTTATAATACTTTTCTTCTACTTTTTCTTATGATTGGCCTCTGGCCCTTACACCTTTCTCATATTCTTGTGGTGCGCATGCTGATTATTCAATTGCCACAAGCATATGGGACTTACAGTTTTAATGCGGTTCCGAAGGGCGAATTTTTCGAGAGGTATTTCTCTGTAAGGATACTCTTGGGACTCTCAGGAGATTGCCTTTTCCGAGAGGAGACACGAGCGTAAATATTTCGGTTCTTACTGAGATCAAACTCGGAACCTCTAGCACGATAGACCAGTGCCTGTCTGCCATGCCACACTCGCATTCTATATACTTTTAATCACTCAAAAAAAACCATTGTACAGTAACAATGAAACAATAAAGCAGGCAGACTTATATATTTTTTTAACGGACGGGCTTCTTTCCATTATAGCATATAAAATTAAATATATATATATATATATACACACACACACGCACACGCACACACACATACATACATATATACTCTAATAGTAATCTGCAGTCTGTACTAATAAGACTATCCTGGCAGCTTTTATTAGTAAGTCACGCATCACATCTATTTTCGACATTACGGTTTCTATCGACAGTTTCGTAAAGGCCAGTATTCATAGTCAGTTCTTATGTTCACGACCGTTTTAAGTTCTGTCTAAAGACTATGGCACATAAAAAACTTAAGACGTAAGCCGTAAGCAATAGCGAATCCATGTTGATTTCCTTACTGCTTAAGTCTTACGTTTTAAGTTTTTGTATGTGCCAAGGTCTTTAGGGCACTGTATATGCTGCGTCTAAGGTATCACGAACCAATCAGAGGACCGCATAAGCTTCTTGAGATATTACTTAAGACTTGAAATAAAGACCGATTATGAATACCAGCCAAAATTATCTAAAGCTTTACTATGAACTCTGATTATCCACTTATGAGCGTTACACTAGAATGTGTACAATATGTGTAACATATAAAATAAATAGATGCAATTTAACGCTCATAATACTATTCACGATACGTTATGATACGCTGTATCGTTAGATCAGCCCATCATTACAAAAACGCACAAATAAAATAGTGGCCATAATAGAGTACTTCAATGAGCAAAACCGCGAATGAGGCATTATTCTTTTTATTTATATTTTATCTTAAAAAACGATGATTTTAAAACATTTATACAACATGATTTATTTAACCGGTTCCTAAAAAACTTTTTTAAAATAACATTAAATAGTTTTTAAACAAAAATAACCGTTCCTAAACATTTTATAAACGTTATTGCTCTACTTGGGTGGAGACTTATATTGTCATAATATTACTGTGATATATTTCAATGTTCATTATTAACATATAATGTATCAGTAATATCTGTGTGATATTATAATGTAATATGTAATATTTCTGATATATTACAATGTTACTGCGATATTACGGGCTATGTGGGAAAAGATCACATTCACGTCACATTAGAGTCACAATAGTTGGATAGAAAATATGATGTCACTGTGAGATTGTCATAACAAAATAACACATGTTACAAAGACATTCGCACTTCATCATGACACTGCTGTGACATTACATTGTGATAAAGCGGACATTCGCACGTTACCATGACGTAACCATGATTGTTGTAATGTAACTGTGACATTTTTGAGGGGATAATTATATAATATCCATATTATTATAAAAAAAAATTTGTTAATTATTGTATTTAACTATTTTTGTTTCAGAAAAATTTAGAGATATTTTCCCGTTTTTTTGTGAATAAAACAACCAAAAAATCTTTGATCATATAGAGGAATCTCTGTAATATAACTCTTATTAAAAGGTATGTAATTTTATTTTTGCTTGATATACATTACTTTGCAATTATTATTTCGTAGTTTATATTTCGTAGTTTATATTTTAATTCAGCTATACATGTGTAATGACGCATTGTTGCTGCAATTTGCTAAGCATACTGTAAAATAATGATATTTATATTATTAATAAATAAAATATGTATTAAAAAATTAAAGTATCCTTTAATTTAGCTTACAAGAAACGTATTACAATCTCTTGAGGAACTGATATTTTTTATTTCGAAGCAGTAGCGATATTCATACGCAAAGTGAGTTATGCGATATATTACAAATTAGTATTCATAATAATTAGATGTATAAATATGCATATTAAAATGAGATATCTTTGATTTTGTTAATTCTGACGTATTCTGATATAAAATTTAAATGTTTTTATAACACGTGTATACCTACATTTGATAGTTATATCACGATACGATTACATATTATCTTTAAAAGATAGTGTAATAAAGAAGTATTATAAAATAATTATTATAAACTATATAATGATAATGAAATGGTAAAAAAAAGATTATAACTTCTTCTCTAAAAGAGTTACAATATTTTTTTATCACTTCATTATCATCATATACTATGCAGTAATTATTTTATCTTTTTTATTACACTATCTCTTCTGATATAATACTGCAGAATAATACTGTTACGTAGTTAATGATTAAAGTTATGTTTTACGAAAATATTTATAACGTATATTTAACACATAGCATGTTATCGAACTTATCTAAAATTTTTACAATAATCGGAAAGTCAATAAATGATAAAGCATTGATGAAAGAATACAAAACTGATTATAAATGGGAAATCGTTTGGAAAAATGTTGTTATTTTTACCTATATTCATTTTGCTGCCATTTACGGATTGTACATAGCGTGCTTGCATGCTAAATATTGGTCAATTCTATGGTGTATGTATCATATTTATTTGTTTCTTTGCTAGATTATGTAAGCTTCGTAGGATTTATCAAATCATAACATATCTATAATTTATAGTTGTTGCTCTTGTTATCGCTGCGCTAATAGGCATTGGCGCTGGTGTTCATAGATTATGGTCCCATCGATCTTACAAAGCAAAGTGGCCCATGAGACTTATTCTCATGATTTTTCAGACCATTGCTTTTCAAGTAAGTTTAGCGTCAACTTTTCTCCTGTCGCCAATAAAAGTGTTGCACAGAATGACACATTTAACTCTTACAATACACGGTACAATTTGATGCCTTATCCGTTCAAACATGGGTCACTAAAATCCGACCGTTTTTTTTCATCTACTCAGAATGGTTAAAAAAATCTCTAAACATTCACCAACCTACTTTCAACTTTCTAGAATAAATATTGAAACTTTATTTTGGAAAAGAATAAAATGTAGTATAATTTTTTTATAATTACTGAAAGACTCAAAGAAACTTGCACGAACAGGAACTGGTGATCCGACCTTGTACGGTAAAGGTTAAATAGATTAAAGAAATCCTATATTTTGTTTTTTTAAATAAAATTTTGTACTTGTGATGATATCTATTTTCAATGTATTACATTTTATCAGGATGATATTTACCAATGGGCCAGGGACCACCGCGTGCACCATAAATTCACCGATACCGACGCGGATCCGTATAATGCGCTCAGAGGATTTTTCTTCTCGCATATCGGTTGGCTTTTAACTCGCAAGCATCCTGATGTCGTTATTAAAGGCGCCACGATCGATTGCAGTGATCTCATGCAAGATCCAATTGTGGTATTTCAAAAAAAGTACGACAAGCACAGTTTGTTTCTGCCAGAAACCAGAATAAGATATGACTAGACATGTAATTTAATTATTTTATATTTACATTTTTTCCTTAGGTGGTATAGGTATTTAATGCCGCTCTGCGCTTTTATTATACCAACGTTAGTGCCTTGGTGGGCATGGAATGAGAGTTTATGGTATTCATGGCATTTGGCAGTTTGTAGATATTGCATAAATCTAAATATCACTTGGTCGGTGAATTCCGTGGCTCACATATGGGGTACGAAACCATACGATCAGTACGTACTAATTATCAAACATTCATATGCACTTTAATATAAAATTAATAAAATTGTGTATATATTGTACAATAGTACATTACAGTATATTTGATATTCTGTTGATACTTACAAACATTTACTTTATTATGCAGATCAGTCACCGCTACTGAAAATATTGGGGTTGCTTTGTTAGCGTGTGGTGAAGGCTGGCATAACTATCATCATGCCTTTCCCTGGGACTATAAAACGGCGGAATTTGGAAATTATAAATTCAATTTGAACAAAACTTTCATTGACTTTTTCGCTTACATCGGTTTGGCTTACGATTTAAAGACCGTATCTGCTGATGTGATAAAGAAACGTGTTCTTCGATGTGGCGAACTAACCGACAATCCAACTATTACGTAGAATAAAATATAGAACAAATTAATTTTTTATTCAAAACTGATTCTTTTTTAAACTTGTCTTGTACAGAAAAATTTACTTTATATTTCTGAAAAAATTAAATTTTATTAGGATGATATTTACCAATGGGCTAGGACCACCGCGTACATCATGAGTTCACCGATACCGACGTGGATCCGTATAATGCACGCAGAGGATTTTTCTTCTCGCATATTGGTTGGCTTTTAATTCACAAGCATCCTGATATCGTTATTAAAGGCGCCGCGATCGATTGCAGTGACCTCATACAAGATCCACTTGTGGTATTTCAAAAAAAAGTACGACAAGCACAATTTGTTTCTGCCAGAAGCCAGAACAAGATATGACTAGACATTTTTATAGTTTTGATTTAATTTTTAATATGTGTAGTCAAATTAAAATTATCTTTTTAATTATTTCACTAGAACATTAAGCAAAATCTTATATTTTTAATATAACTTATGTACTTGTTTTTATGTAATTATTTATGCGAAAAAATATTTTGCGATAAAATAAACGATGTCGAATTTTTTATTGTGAGTATACTTCAATCCAAGAAATGTATTCGTATAAAATATATAGGTTTGTATGTGAAAAAATATGTGAAAATAGACGATTTCGCAACTAATACAAATTTCTCAAAATAAAAACATGATATAATAATTTAGAGAGAGAAATCGAATTCGTATTCAGCGTCCACAAAACTGTGAAAAATAACTCTAATGATGTTCCTTTTTCGTTAAACATTGTTATTAATTTTATATATGTCAAACACTGCTATTAATTTTTATATATGCAAGTACATATATGGTATATATAATAGTTCAAGATTGAATTATTTAAGCAACAAAGATCTAACTTCGACCGTTATAGACATTTTAATTTCTAGTATTGATTGTGTTCTCATATATGCGGTATAAAATAAAGATTCTTAATTCAATAATAAGGTTCAATATGTATAAAACAATAACAATTTGGTCACTTATAAAGAAAAATTTTTTATATTCATCTGACAAGGTAAAATAAATTTCTGTTATGTTTATATTTTTCTGACAAAGTAAAATAATTTTCTGTTACAATTTTTAAGTTTGTTTTACATATTACTTAATTTTTCTTAGATTTGTTTGTATTTGCAACTTAACACTTGAATTTCATTTGGACTAATAATTTTACACTTTTTACTTGGAACGACATGGTTATTCTCACGACGTCAGGATTTTTTTATTATTAATTTATTCCTTTTTTTTGAGGTTTTATATTGATACGACTGTTATTTATTATATTGTATTATTTATTTTTCTTAGTTTATTAATAAGATTGTTCTGTAATTATTATGTAATGTTATAATTAATTTTTTATTATTATATTTTGCTAGCGACATCATGACAAGTTATATTTTATTTTATTATATATTTTTAAAGATTGACTATGTAACCGGTTTTCTACGATACTGGTGTTTTTTGCATTGAAAATGACTCGATCGAAGTCGAAACGTCTGTAATGGTTTTATTTTGATTATATTGTTTATTGGAATATTGGTTCTATGCCCTGTTGATACCTTTATTATTCTTAATATTGTTATTAATTTTATATACAATCTTTTTTTGTGCATTATACAAATAATTCGTACGTTTATTTACGTACTTACTTAATTACATTTTATCAAGCCTGAAATATGCAATCGATTTCGTTGACCTTCACTCCGCTGCACAGTACTCGCGAAACCTCTTCGGTGCACTGTGCACTGGCATGGCTTTTTTTCTTTCATATCTGTACTGTCTGGTGTAGCAATTAAACGTAAAGTAAGTTTGCCAACGTTGTTTAATGTTGATCAATTTACTGTGAAAAATTACAAATGTCTCGCTATTATTTGTTTCTAATTGATATAACGCGTATATAATATCTATCAAATACGATATGTGATAGAAATACTTTAAATATAATTACAGTGTAACACGAAAACAGCCATTGCCTTTATTATGCACGATACTCACCACAAAGTTCTCACGATGACATGCGTGACGTAATTAAATGCAAAGTCGAAGTTATTATGACAAGAAAAAGACCAATCTTATAATTTAATTTTCTTAATTCTTTGTCTTCTATTTACAAAAGAAGTTCTGTGGGAAAAAATGTTCCATATATAATTATATATAACATTTTTTCCAGGTCGACAAGCGTAAAATAAAAAAAATTTTTAATTTTCACGAGTATGGAGTAGTTCTATGGACTATTTTCCTCTAATAGTCAAAGTAACTAAAAATCAAAGTGTTTGGACTAAATTCAATAAAAACTCAGTGCGCTAATTCTTGTAAATCATCATAGCATTTTCATAAGCATATAAATAATATTGTTAAATTCTTGTGCTCATTGTAGAGTTAATTTCAACGCTTATTCTCGGTACCGATGCGGCCAGAATTCGAGACAGTGTCTACCTATCAGCTGTTTATTTCGCATCACATACATATATGTATACATTCTCAACCTTTTTTTCTTTTCTCCCGAAGCGAAGATTACCTCTCGGTACCTGTGTATATCTATCGCTTAACGACCAAGTTCAGTTGTTCTCGAATAAAAATCAGAAGCACATCTCAGGTATATCTCTCTCAGTTTCTATTTTTTCCAACGCCTTCTGACTCCTCGTGATTGTTCGTTTATAATGGTGATTCTGACATCACCTGCGGACCTGGTTTTCCGGTACTATTTTCCTTTCGCAATACTTCTAACACAAAGTTATGAATTAAATAATTTCTAATTTCGAACTTTTGCAATAATATTGAAGATTATTGTCTAGAATAATACAGCTCAATAAAATAAATAAATGCATTAATATATTATATTATTATATAATTTTATCAATGCTACCGAATTAATACGTTAATTTTTTTTATACACATAACATATAGTTTAGCCTATTAACTGGTAAGGAGGTTTTCCTCAATCATGGAATTAAATAGATTACTTATACCGATGGATACCGGAAACAAAAAATAATACAGAATTGGTATTTTTAATCATTGAGTATTATATTATTAAAATACGTTAGTGCATTTTCGTTCATTTCGCTGCATTGTATCATTCTAGATGATAACCTTTAAAAAACCACAATTGATAAACGGCCCCTCGATATTTAAACGAATAAACAGAAGAAATATATAAAGCAACTGAGGGTAACGACGCGGTAATTAGTGCGCAATAAGATTTCCAGTAAAAAAGAGTGTATTTACTTCATACTACATACTCCACACAAAAAATCAAATGCTTCATTCAAATCATTTTCAGTGATTAAGTACTATATACTAATTCTGCATTATTTCTCGTTTCCGGTATCCATCGGTAAGTAATCCATCCATAAGTAATCTGTTTAATCTTCCATGATTAAGACAAGCCTCTATACTAATTAATAGGTTAATTGATGTATATGCCTTCGTATACTAATGCAACAGAATAGTCTAAATTTACGCTCAGATACAGAGCGTGTACATCAAACTTATATACAATTATTAAAAGACATTAAATACTTATACGTTGTCGATTGTACAAATTTTTGTTTATGTATTGACATTGTTCTTTTTTTCTTTTTATTTTCGTTGTTGACCTGTCATGTCTTTCTTATTATATTAAATGATATAGTATATATAATAAATGAGTGAATATTAATTGTAATTGGTTGATCCAAAGACGAATTCCTTCTATATCTTGGGGTGAGTCACCAGTTTTTTAATGTTAATGAAACTTGGATAGAAATATTTATAAGATAATTTTAATGTTTTGAATAGATTACAACATCAAATCTGTTACTCTGACGGTGATTTTTTCTTGAGCATGAAGGGATTGATATTTTGAATTTGTGTTGCTGAGGATGGTTTCAAAGTAAACCGAAACGTACTATTATTTTTTGGAATAAAGATTCTATTTTGTGGATCGAAGATTTAAGATTGCGTATTAATTACCACGCTGACTTTTATTCGTCTTGTTTTTTTGAATTTTTTGTTGTTGTGAATTTGGGAGATTTCGTAAGAAGATTACATTATTACTATTTGATATGTTATTTGTGTGTAAAATACAACTAATAAGTGTAAAAAATATAATTAAGGAGTATTTGGTTGCATTAGTAAAATTATATTACCTATTCATCGACAGAAAACCAGGAACGAGATCACACATTTGTATTGTTGTTAGTATAAATTAAAATTAAATGAAATTAAAATTAAAAAATTAAATTAAAAATTATAAATAATTAGATAAAACAATTTAATTAGAATAAATCAATTTAAAAGCTTGTCGTTAATCCATAACTGAATTACACGGAAGTCAAAAAGTGATGAACTACAATAAGAAGTTTTACATCAATTTGTATAAAAGTAAATATGATAATAAATATTAAATGGTTTATTAAGCATATTACGATATGTCATTTGTTATTTCATATGAGCAAATTTAATAAAAATATGAACAGACGACGGGGCTGTGAGAGTCTAGAGTGGTAATTAGTGCGTAGATTCAATAGTTTTTTAACAATTAAATTAAATCAATTAGTTAGACATTAAGAGTCTTACAATATTCTGCTTCGTTTCGGCTTTAATATTTGAATTTTCTTCAATGACAAAAAATGCAAAAATAAAAGTTAAAAACTGCATGTCGTTGGATACTGTTAAACATAAAGCTCTAGATATACCAAGATAGCGCAAAGGTCCTCCATTTTTTACCTAAAATAATTATATTATATATTAATAATATACTAAGCGCTTATTGAACTGCAGCCGAGGGTCGAAAATAACAATCGAAATAGAAAATAGGAAAGTTGTCGGCATTTCGGCTCAGATAAAAGATTGCGCTACTTTGATATATCTATAAGAGCTTTAGTTAGACAAGGCGAGAGGTGAGTGGATAAAAATTATATTATCCAAGCAGTTGGAAGACTAGATAGGAATACGTTCATCCTATGTTAAAATCAAATGTTAACAAAGATAATATTTGCAACAGTTGGTTAGAAATAAATAAAAAATATATATAACACTCACAAGTAGCAGCAGTACCCCCCATACACAAAATTAAAAAAACGAATTCTGTATAGAGAGTCAGAATAAAATTATATATATATAAATGTGGAAATATACGAAAACGAGATTATAAAATTGTATATTACAAAAGATAGGTTCTTCCTACTCGAGTTTGAATAGAATAATGCGTTGACAATAAAATGTACTAACAAACATGACGAAATTGACAAGGTTGTTTTGCGCATGATATGTTTTACAGCACGATAAATAAAAAATCACTCTTAAATTCCAGCACAACTTTTATTTTTTTAAGAGGTCTGTTCGCGTTGCTTGAAATTCTCACAAATTTTTTCATTTAAGATAAGTTTATTTAAACACATATTCGGGCGTTGAAGACAGAGAAAACAAAGATGCTGAGTGCAAAGAATGCAAGCAACACGAACAGACCTAAAATTTTTCTATTCATATCAGTTGCAAAATTTAAGGGTAAAATGCACGGATGCTATTATTTTGCTACTGCGCATCTTAGGGAATATAACACCTTATCTAATTCCGTCATGCTAACAAATAATAGGTCATTTATACTAGCCGTCATCTGTAATATATTAATTTATGCTATAATCTGTAAGCACTGACCAATCATCATCGAATGAGAGGGGAATAATCGACTATGATTGGTCAATTTTAACAGATTACAATATAAATGATTCTTAGGTTATACGATCAAAAGAAACCATTTTATTAGAAAGGTATTTAAATATTATTTATAATTAATGAGTACATATCATTTAGACCCTGACGGTCTATTTTTAAATTGTGTGTCTCTTTACGTATACCATTTCCGATAACAATCGTTTTTTTATCCAAAATCTCCACTTCCCAACAAAATTTGTGATTGTAACTTATTCTATGCTCGCTGCAATAATGACCAAACTAGTAGAAATATCTCTTCTGGTGTTCTGAGATACCTGTTTTTAATTATCTACCAGTCTGCCCTGTATAAAATCTACCAGGTAAAAAAGTTTTTAGCATGAATATATATAAATATATATTAGTTTATATACATATGTAACATATTCATATGTATTAATGCATGCACATTTTTTTACCGGGTTATACAGGGCAATTGGTAAATAATTAAAAACAAAAATTTTAGAACATTTATAGAACCACATCAAAAGAAACATTTCTACTAATTCGATTATTATTGAGCATGAGATGAGTTACCACGAATTTTGTTAGAAGATAGAAATTTTTGATAGTGAAAGATATATTAGCAAAAAATCGTTATCGGAAATGATACATATAAGAAAACAATACAATGATCCGAATTTAAAATTTGTTCATGCATGAGTATATATAAATATGTATAAACTTTAAACATATTTATATTTATGCGTGAAAGATTTTTTACCGGGTTATGAAGGGCAAACTAGTAGATAGTTAAAAAAACAAGAATATCAGCCACATCAGAAAAAATATTTCTACTAATTCGGTCATCACTGAACATAGGATGAGTCACAACCACGAATTTTGCTGAGAGATGAAGATTTTGGATAGTTAAAGATATCTTAGCAAAAGATTGTTATCGGAAATGACACATGTAAGGAAACAATACAATGGTCTCATTAAAAAGATTTTGTCATGCAGAGATATATATGAATATGTATGAGTTATACATATTTATATTTATGCAAAAATGTTTTCCGGGTTGTGTAGAGCAAACTGATAGTTAAAAACAAGATTCTCAAAATATCGTAATCTCATTCAGAAGAAACATTTCTACTAATTCGATCACTGACCATAGAGTGAGTCACAATCACGAATTTTATTGGGGCAAAGTAGAGATTTTAGATAGTTAAAAATAATGAATATATATAGTTTCTTAGGGCCGTATAATATGAATACACAATAATTAAGAAATAATCTCTACACCAATCAAAGTTGGATCTTGAGTGCTTTAAATAATTTCATGTAAATTTATATATCACTTGTAATCTCTTAAATTGCGTGCCGAATTGATTTTTCGGACTTGTTAGAAACGCAACTAAACTATACTACAGTAAAATTATTATAGTAACATAAAAGAAATACTATAGCAATGTATAAACAAATTAAATTGACAAGCAATTTAATAATTTAATGTTTAATTGGCATCATTTTAATAAGACCTTAATATGAAAAACAATAAAAACATAAATCTCATAGAACGCATATGTGAAAAATACAACCTATAGAAACAAATGTCTTAAACAGTCTAGTTGGATTTTAAGTGCTTGTATAATTCTGTGTGAATCTATATTTCTATTTTTTAATTTTATTTTTCTTCAATTATATGTATATGTGAATCAAAATTTAATTTTTATTTAAAAAGTAACTTATATTACAATTCATTAAATACATCGATGTTTTCTTTTTTTCTGAACATTGATCTAAATCTGGAGCTAAATTCAAATCTGAATCTGAATTTAGATCCGGATTCAAATTCAGATCCGCGGATCCGAATTATTCGGATATCCGGATTACCCGAATAAAATGGTTTTGAATTCTCGGATCGGAATCGATTTCAGATATCCGAATATCTAAATATTCGAATACTTAGAAGCCCTATTTTTTGTTTCTGTCGACTGACTTTCTATCGCCTTGTCTGGCAATATCTAACACGACATATTTTCAATGTCTCGATATTTGGGTTTTTTGTCGCTAAAAAGGGCTCAAATGTTAGAGCTGAAATATATTTCGGCAAAATATTGTAAGACTCTTAACAATTGATTAAATTTTATTTCGGCGCGCAGTCAAATAACTGCTTTTTTAATATATAAATTCACATAGAAATTATTTAAAAAAGAAAAGCATCTAAGATCCAGCTTCGACCGTAATAGACATTAAACTCTTGCTTGTTGTGTATTCACATATACGATTTTAATAAATCGTTTATTAAGATACAAGAAGTGTATTAAATATTTTTAAAATGGTTACTTCAAACTTCATTTTGCATTTTTAAACATATTTTTATCTTTTCATTATTTACCAAATTATGATCATTTTAAATTTTTCTTACATTTTCAGTCTACCGCTTTTTTTCGAGTGAGTGTGTATATAATCGTTTATTAAATTTTATTTGTCGGAATCTGTGCACTAATTAACTCTCATATGCACCGTGTCTCTCCATATTCTTGTTGAACTCTGGAAGTTCTTTTATACAGTTTATAATGTTTATATTAACAAATTTAAACTTCAATTGTTCGTTTGAAGAATGAAAACGATTGATGCCTATTTCCACCAATGTAGATTAACTTTAATCTTGGTTCAACTTACTCTTCATCTTTTTCTAATCTTTAGAACTAGAAAAAGACAAAGAGTAAGTTGAACCGAGATTAAAGTTAATCTGCGTTGGTGGAAACGGGCCAGAGTCTGTTATTTTTTTACAGTGTGAAGTATATTTTTGGATTTTCAGTTGAGTCATCGACATCAAAGATGACGCCAAATATTTTAAGCACATATTCAAAAACACTCACGGACAAAGATTTACAAAATGAGAAATCTTCTATTACTACAAAGACGATAGATGAAAATGACAAGCAAACCAGAAGCGAGAATATAAAAACTGAAGGCTGGTTTGAGACGGAGCTCAAATGGTTTAACATCGTAAATCTTTGTTTTTTCCACATATTCTTCGTATATGCCTGTTTTACTTTTGACTTTTTCGAAAATCTGATGACGACTGCTTGGTGTAAGTATTCTTTGGAAAATTCTTTCGTTAATTTGATTCCTTGATATCTTAAAAAAATTACAAAACAAAAAAATAAAATTTAGACCACCAACGAATTAATCATTAAAATTGTAATGCATGTTTATAAAAAATGTCACAATCGTTTTTGCGACTTCTGTACCACCAACGAATTAATCATTAAAATTGTAATGCATGTTTATAAAAAATGTCACAGTCGTTTTTGCGACTTCTGACTCGAACGACGGCTAATTGAAAGTCAATTACGCGACTAAAGAAAGCACGCAATAGAACTTTAACAGCAGATAAAAAGTTGTTGTTTAAGACTTTTTATTCTCTTGTATTACATCAATTGTATAATATAAAAAGGAGCGTAAAAGCCAGTACGAGTTCTTTTCGCGAATCTAAACGTTATAACATTCATTTATTACTAATTCAACAGTAATATAAAACGTTTTGACCTTTGTTAGGTTATCCTTGATATTAGAAAATTAACGCGCTGACTCAGTCTTGAATGTAATGAGGATTTTATGCTCTTTTATATATTATGCCTTAGTTTTAAAGCCAGTTATTTAAAGCCAGTCTTTAAGTATCTATTGTGTTATAAATTATCATAAATTGTCAAATGTCGCAGTAAAATCGGTGTTACTTACATGACTCTTCCATAAGAAATACAAATTAAGTTGTTACGCATAATATTAAAACGTTTTTAATGTTAATTATGCCTATGTTTTTTGTTTCAAGTATTCATCATGTATGTATTAGGAGGAATAGGTACCACTGCCGGTCCTCATCGTTTGTGGACTCACCAAGCATATAAAGCAAAATGGCAGCTTAGAGTTATACTTGGTGTTTTTTATGCTTCGGCAGGCATGGTAAATGAACGTTTATTATTACCGCTTTATACGTTGCAAGATGCAAGAATTTTTCTTTACAATTGTATTCTTTCAGAATGACATTTTCGAATGGGTGCGAGATCACCGGGTGCACCACAAATTTACTGATACGGATGCGGATCCGCATAACAGTAACCGAGGATTCTTTTTCTCCCATATGGGTTGGTTGATGATGAAGAAACATCCAGATGTGATTCGAAGAGGTCGTCAGGTGGATATGAGTGATGTATTGGCTGATCCTGTTGCTGCATTCAATATCAAGTAAATTTTTGCAAAGAGTTAATTATGCGAAATAGTTTCATGTTGGAAAAGACAAAAGAAAATTTGAGGAAAAAAGAATATTATGAAAAGGCTCATTTTTGCTGTGTCTGTGAAAAGTAAAATCAATATTATTTTTTATAATTGCTGAGGCAAGGAATTTGATGATGCTAATTAAAATTACGTTGGATTACAAATTATATAACGGAAATTAAGTGTATAAGAAATTAAGTTCAAGGTTGAGAAAATATTACATGTTACGTCGTGTTATTCGTGAGATATAGGTTGCTAACAGTACATATATTGATGAGACAATGTGGCACATTATATATGTTTCTACATGATTAAAGAAACAAATCTTCGATTAAAAAACACGTTATCTGATTATTTTAAAGTGCTCAACGAACATTTCGGTTCATATCAGAAACTGTTTGACTTCAAAATTTTTAATTTAGCTTTATTAAATATATGTACACTGAAAGAAAAGATTGGCTACTGCAGCAAATTATATGGTAAAATATGATATAGAGCTTTTTTAATTGACTGCAGCAGCCAATTTTTTGTTGCGTTAGCTGCAATGTCAATGCAGGATTTTGATAAGTTAACGAAACTAAAAATTGATTGCTGCAACCAATTAAAAATTCTATGCCATATTTAGCCAATCTTTTCTTTCAGTGTATAATACTTTATGTTATAATATTTCTATTTTATAGTTTAGAAGTAATTGTGGTAAAAATGTAATACATTTTTATGAACACTAATGTATTGTTAAAACACAGCTAAAATGTTTTTCTTATTTATTGAATTTTTTCTAAAATTTGATAAATATGTCGCAACGAAGATTCATTATACGTTGCATCGTTATTGTTTTGTACAAATACTATAATGTCTAAATAAGGAGATGTTGAAACGGCCGAGTTTGATCGATGTCGATAAAGCAAATTTTTTAATTTTCCAAAGTAAAACATTATGCACTATTAGAAATGTAACCACGAGCTTCTTTTACATGTAAATGCAGCTGGTGGTTATGAACGAAATTAAAAGTAATGAATGATTTAACTGAAAATTAAGTTACAGTAGTTACTTAAATGTAATGAACGTGTACATTAAATTTATGAAATTTAATGTACTTTTAATAAAATTTTATGAAAAGTATATTAAATTTCATAAATTTTCATGAAAAATACATTAAATTTTATGTACATGTACATAAATATACTTTTTAGTTACAAATACATTAAATTTAATGTAATGTCATGAAATTAAATTCAAATTAAATTCAATTATGTAACTTAAAAGTTAATGAAATTTAAGAACATTTCTAACAGTGTGTACATTAAGTAAAACATTACATACATTAAGTAAAACGTTACGTGCATTAAGTAAAACATTATGTGCATTAAGTAAAACATTAATTGTAGCGTTACGTACATTTTTTGTTCTGCTGTGCCCTATATATTGCAAGGTTACTTACACAGCACGAAGTCGATTGATAGGTGACTATCAGTCGGCAAAAGAAGTTTAAAGTTGACTTTGAAGTTAGACTGATGAGGTCGACAAATGTCTTGACTACAATTGGCTGTCAGTTAGTCAATGCAGTCAATACAAAGTCGACTTTATGGCGACTATAAGTAGACAATTGTAAAAAGCATTTCCTGATAAACAATTTTTTATATATGTACATAATTATATGCTAAAATCTAAAATAAGTATCATTAGTTAGCATCATATTCCAGTCCAACAAACAGCAAATTACATGTATAACGTACAGGGTGTTGCAGATACATACTAGGCAGTACGACGGGTTGCGTGGTAAACTTTGCATGGGCAGATGCGGTTTTATAGACAATAACAGTGACTTTATAACATAAACTTTATAATATAAAGTCACTGTTATTGTATAATGTATAAAGTCACTGTCATTGTCTATTAAACCACACTTGGCCATGCAAAGTTTGCCGCGCAACCCGTCGTACTGCCTAGTATGTATCTGCACCCTGTACATGTTGGTTGTAATTTTCCACTCAACAATATACAATTGTAACATAACACTTGTGTTATATTACAGTTATATTGTTGAATGGGAAATTAACTTAGTGTTTGCTGGGAGAATGCGGTAAAAAATTATAATAAAAAAAATGTTTCCTTGTGAATTCGGAAATTAATTTCATAGTACTTTGAAACGATCCTAAGCTAAACTGCATCACATCCGCTTCTTGATCTCTGCAATCGTATAGAAACTGTTTCTTCGATGATCGATGAACACTGATTATTAACGCATGTTAGCTGCACCAACTGTGACATAGCTTTGACATATTTGATTATGGAGAAAATTTTATATTAAGTTTTAATACAATTTTAAATTACACTTTACTATATCTTGTATTTTCGAAGGACTCTCACAACATGATTCCGACTTAACTTTTACTATGGTAATACTAATTTTTATCACATAAATAAAGTAATTAATTTGTTAAGCCATATTCTAATATGAAAACAGTTAATTTTTACTATGGTACGCAAACAAAATTTGCTAGATATATTTGATTTTGTAATAAAAAATTTTTACTATGAAAAAGTGTAAAAATTACGTTATATTATTGTTTTTAAAAAAATAACTATAGCGTTTAATTTACATGAAGACCGCAACTACTACCACATTATAGTAATTTTAAATATAAAATTTTCTCCGTGTAGGATGTAGTGATACATTTCGATACGAGAATCTCTGAATATCGTCTCAGAACTTCTCGTCTTATTTAAAATAACATTCCAGAGATTATTATATGTCATTTGTTTTTTTCGTCTCGTCTCGTTTTGTCATGAAAAAAAATTTAAAAGAAATCCGTAAGTAATTTTAGTTTAAATTAAGACTTTTAATTAAAAAAATTTTATTTTTTTACACACAAATACTCACATGTTAAAAATTTTTTGCAAATGAATTTCTTATAACTATGATTAACTATCCTTTTAACGTTCTATATGTTGAGCTTCAAAAAATTGCGTATTTATGTATAAATTCATTCTTAAGAAATACTGATTTTAAAAAACGAGAAAAACTGATTTTAATGTACAAAATCAACTAAATCGGGATTTGTGTAAAATAAAAAAGCTCTTTTTAATTGGAAGGCTCAATTCAAGCTGAAATTAGTGACAAATTTCTTACTATATTCAGTGACGAATTAAGCATTTTGCCGCCCCTAAGCACTAACATTTAACTGCCTCCAAGTGGCTTCATTAATTTATAAATTTGATAAAAGGGAAAATGGATTAAAAAAATGATTTATACCCTTGCTAAAAAATATTCAATAATCATTAATAAATAATATAAATATAATACATTTTTAATTGCTTATTTAAAATATCTTTCTGATAAAATATGCTCAGTGTAACTCGTACAAAAATGTTAAATTAACAAATTAAAAATTTATCTCAACCATGTGAAAATTTTCTGTCTTGAAAAATTTGCCGCCCTAGGCAAGTGTCTTGTTTGCCTATACGTTAATCCGTCACTGTTTATATTACGTAAGAAACGATTGTAAAAATTTAAGAAAAA